CCGCTCTTGAGAGGACAGCTCTTATCAGAACTACGGCTTGCCCAAGGTCATCCAGCAGGTGCAAGTGGAGGAGTGGGGAATCAAACCCGGTTCTCCCAGATTAGAGTCTGCGGCACTTAACCACAAACACCAAACTGATTCAATCAGCCAGTCTCTAGGGTGATTCAATCCCAATACATAACAGGTGTTGTTGTTTTTTAATTCAGCCCGAAGAACCGTTCTAGAGAACCCGAAAACTTGCACGCTGTTTGTTATTGTGGTGGCTGGTCCTTGGACAAGGCTGTTGCCTGGCTTTCAAGAGCAAAAACTCGCTAGGGTCCTTCCCTCTTGCTCCTGGGAATGCCATTCTTGTATTGCACGTATCAAAAAAAAAAAACCCTGACACAGGAGAAACCACTGCCAACCAAGGAAGTTATCAACGCACCAGCAGAATCCGAACTCAGCCCCCTTCGGCCCGAAAACTAAGCACGTGGCTTTTCGAACGGGGGTGGCTACTGTCTCTTTAAACAGCCGACGCCTCTCGCGTCCCGCCCCTCGGGGGATGGGCGTGGTTTATGCAAATAGACGCAGAGGGCGCGATCGCTCTCATTCAATAGCTGGGGGTGGGATGGGCGCGTTCTATGCAAATCAACACACTCCTTCAGCCGTTGGAGGAGGGATGGGCGTGTCCTATGCAAATTAACGCCGGGGGGGCTTTCGCTCTCGTGCTCCGCTCTGAGGCAGGAGGGGCGTGGCCTTCCGCCCATCTCGACGCGAAGAAACGCTTTCGCTCGCGTCTCGCGCTCGGCGCGTGATGGGCGTGGCCGTATGCAAATCGACGCAAGGGGCGCTTTCGCTCTCGGCCGGCGCTGGGAGGCGGAGGAGAGGGAGGGGCCGTCTCGCTTTTGATTGGCGTCTTTCTCAGCCAACGAGGGAGAAGGAAGTAGAGCCAAAAGGCGGAGCAGAGGGCGGGACTTCCTGCTCGGATTGCGAGCGTGGAGAGTGAGGTGAGCGGGCCGACTCTCCACAGCCGCCGCCGCCGCCGCCATGATCAAGAAGTTCGACAAGAAAGATGAGGAGTCGGGTAGGTCCGCGGGCCGGACGCGGTGAGGAGGCGGCGGGATGAGGAAGGGCACAAGTCGGAAGGCGGAGGGCCTGTTGCCAGGGCGGCCCCTGGGCCTTGGGGCGGGAGACCCCTCCACCACCGATAACCCCGCCCCCTTTTCATCCCTTATCTCCCCCCCCCAAAGATTTCCCGGAAGTGCACGTAATATCCTCTCCTTTCGATCACTCTTGGCAAAAATTTCCTTATCTTAGAATTACTTCCTTGCACGTAGAAAGCTAGTCCAGCACGGGCGTCTCGGAACACTGCCCTGGTGTGGGGTTCCCTCTAAGCTGAGTCGGTGTGAGCCAGCTCACAGTTCTTTAGCCTCCAGCTCACAGTTCTTTAGCCTCCAGCTCACCCATTTTTGTCTTAGCTCAGGAAGGAGGGCTCCAGAGCAAGCTGATTTCTGCAGGAGCCAAATGGCTGGCTCACAGCTTTAATGCCAGGAGCTCACAAGACTCCGCAGCTTAGAGGGAGCATTACTGGCAACCAGTATTCCCTCTAAGCTGAGTCGGTGTGAGCCAGCTCACAGTTCTTTAGCCTCCAGCTCACAGTTCTTTAGCCTCCAGCTCACCCATTTTTGTCTTAGCTCAGGAAGGAGGGCTCCAGAGCAAGCTGATTTCTGCAGGAGCCAAATGGCTGGCTCACAGCTTTAATGCCAGGAGCTCACAAGACTCCGCAGCTTAGAGGGAGCATTGCTGGCAACCAGTGTTACCTCTAAGCTGAGTTGGTGTGAGCCAGCTCACAGTTTTTTAACTTCCAGCTCACCCATTTTTCTCTTAGCTTGGGAAGGAGGGCTCCAGAGCAAGCTGATTTCTGCAGGAGCCAAATGGCTGGCTCACATCTTGAATGCCAGGAGCTCACAAAGCAGAATTTTTGCTCACAAGACTCCGCAGCTTAGAGGGAGCATTGCTGGCAACCAGTGTTATCTCTAAGCTGAGTCGGTGTGAGCCAGCTCACAGTTTTTTAACTTCCAGCTCACCCATTTTTCTCTTAGCTTGGGAAGGAGGGCTCCAGAGCAAGCTGATTTCTGCAGGAGCCAAATGGCTGGCTCACATCTTGAATGCCAGGAGCTCACAAAGCAGAATTTTTGCTCACAAGACTCCGCAGCTTAGAGGGAGCATTGCTGGCAACCAGTGTTACCTCTAAGCTGAGTTGGTGTGAGCCAGCTCACAGTTTTTTAACTTCCAGCTCACCCATTTTTCTCTTAGCTTGGGAAGGAGGGCTCCAGAGCAAGCTGATTTCTGCAGGAGCCAAATGGCTCGCTCACAACTTTAATGCCAGGAGCTCACAAAGCAGAATTTTTGCTCACAAGACTCCGCAGCTTAGAGGGAGCATTGCTGGCAACCAGTGTTCCCTCTAAGCTGAGTTGGTGTGAGCCAGCTCACAGTTTTTTAACTTCCAGCTCACCCATTTTTCTCTTAGCTCGGGAAGGATGGCTCCAGGGAAAACAAATTTATGTGGTAGCCAAATTGCTCACTCACAACTTTAATGCCAGCAGCTTACAAAGTAGAATATTTGCTCACAACACTCCACAGCATAGAGGGAGCATTGGTCCTTTCAACATTAGAGGACTTATCAGAATTCTCACCCAGTTTTGGAAAAAAAGCTCCCTGCAGGTAGAAAGCTAGCAGTGCAAGTGCATCCTATAACACCTGCCCTGCTTTCTCTGGTTTTCCATCCCCTTTCAGCATAGGGAGTAGTCAGAAATATCACCCAGTCTTGAAAGAAGCTCCCTGCAGGCAGAAGACTAGCAGACCAGTTGCCTCGCTATGTCACACTATGCGGTACATTGTTGTTGTTGTTGTTTAATTCAATTTATACCCCGCCCTATCCCACAATTATTACACACGTTCTTGGCTTCTTGCTTTCTCTTACTTCTCTGCCTCCTTTTAGCATAGAGTAGTAGTCAGAAATATCAACCAGTCTTGAAAGACGCTCCCTGCAGGCAGAAAGCTAGCAGACCAAGTGTCTCACTGTATCACAGTACACTGTGTTTATTTATTTATTATTATACCCCGCCCTTCCCGTGAACAGGCTCAGGGCGGCTTACAAAAGTCAGTACAATGTACCTAGTCAACATAAAACTTTTTGAACACTTTAAAGCAGCTAAAACATTCATAACATTTAAAACATTTAAAGTGCTCCCAATATTCCTTAAATTAGATGGCACGCTCTAAGATATACCGTCCGAGTTTTCAATTCAGCAGTCTTCCAATCTCCTAAGTAGATATAGGCCTAACTCCACGTTAGGGCCAGCCCTGTACTACAGATGTTGAGGTAGTATAGTTGGTGGTCATGGTGGCGGCTGCTAATCGAAGGCCTGGTGGAAGAGCTCTGTCTTGCAGAAGTTCCCACAGGGCTCTCATCTCTTCCGGGAGCTCATTCCACCAGTAAAGAGCCGCCACAGAGAAGGCCCTGGCCCTGGTTTTGGCGAGCCTGGCATCTTTGGGGCCCGTAATAGCTGACCGATGTCGTGACCCCGACCGTAGTGCTCTCTGGGGTATATATGGGGAAAGGTGGCCCGTCAGATATGCCGGACCCTGGCCATGTAGGGCTTTAAAGGTAAGTACCAGCACCTTGAAGCAAATTCGGTATGCTGTTGGCAGCCAGTGCAGTGACCGAAGCACAGGCTGGATGTGCTCCCAACGTGGGAGGCCCATCAACAGCCTGGCTGCGGCACTCTGCACCAGCTGCAGCTTCCGGACTTGCGACAAGGGCAGCCCCATGTAGAGGCCAGGTCCAGTCTCAAGGTGATCATCGCATGGATCACTGTAGCCAGGTCGCTGCGGTCGAGGAAGGGAACCAACTACCGAACCAGCCGAAGATGATAAGAGGCCGACTTTGCAGTGGCTGCCACCTGGGCCTCCATTGTCAAGGAGGGATCCAGGAACACTCCCAGACTCCTAACCTCTGACGCTGGCACCAACGGCGCCCCGTCGATGGCCGGGAGCGGGATCCCCAACCCCGTACCGCCGCGACTCAAGCACAGGACCTCCGTCTTCCCCGGGTTTAGCTTCAGCCGGCTCAGCCTGAGCCAACCAGCCACGGCCTGCAACGCCCGGTCCAGATCTTCTGGTCTGGAGTCCGATCGGCCGCCCAACATCAGATAGAGCTGAGTGTCATCAGCGTACTGATGACAACCCATCCCATACCTCTGAGCAACCTGGGCAAGGGGGCGCATATAGATGTTAAACAACATCGGGGAAAGCACCGCCCCCTGAGGTACCCCGCATTCAGGCGGGTGTCTCTTGGACTGCTGTTCCCCTAGCACCAGAAGAGAAGAAGAAGAGATTGGATTTATACCCCGCCCTTCACTTGGAGTCTCAGAGTGGCTTACAAACTCCTTTCCCTTCCCCTCCCCACAACAGACATCCTGTGAGGTGGGTGGGGCTGAGAGAACTCTGACACAAACTGCTCTTTTCCAAGGACAGCTGTGCCAGAGCTTGTGACAGACCCAAGGTCACATCAGCAGGTGCACGTGGAGGAGTGGGGAATCAAACCCGGTTCTCCCAGATTAGAGTCCGCACACTTAACCACTACACCAAACTGGCTCTCCCTTTGTCCCCGACCCTGGAGAAAGGAGACAAGCCATTGCAAGGCGAGCCCCTGTATCATCACGTTGGCGAGGTGGTGGGTCAGCAACTGATGGTCGACCGTGTCGAATGCAGCCGACAGGTCCAACAACAACGGTGCTGCCGAACCGCCCCGATCCAGGTGCCTTCGAAGGTTTATTTATTTATTTATTTAAATTTATAATCCGCCCTCCCCACGAACAGGCTCAGGGCGGCGCACAAATGGGTCCAATGCCCAATACATAAAACATTAAAACTGCATTTTAAAACATTCAATACAACTTAAGTGCTCGCCATAATATTTAACAAGGGAACAGATGACGTCATCAGGATAGTATCCTTAGTGGCCACAGCTCCACGCAGTACCACTATTTTAGCGCTCTTGGCGAGTTGGTAATAAAGGGCTAGGACAGATAGTCATAGTCGTAGACAGATGGTAACAGTCGTGGCGGCTCCTACTCAAACGCCTGGCGGAAGAGCTCCGTCTTACAGGCCCTGCGGAACCCGCAGGGCCCGGATCTCCTCTGGGAACTTGTTCCACCAGGTAGGAGCCGCCACCGAAAAAGCCCTAGCCCTAGTCACCACTAATCTGGTCTACTTGGGACCTGGAACCACCAGGAGAAGTTTAGTCCCGGACCGTAGTGCTCGTTGGGGAACATATGGGGAAAGGTGGTCCCATAGGTATGTCGGACCCTGGCCATCTAGGGCTTTAAAGGTCGTCAGTAAGCGCGACCAACACCGTCCTGGGCGGAAGCCAGACTGGAAGAGATCTAATACAGAAGTGTCATCCAGAAAGCCCTGCAGCTGTGCCGCCACCGCCCTCTTGATTAGTTTGCTCAAATAGGGCAAATTGGAGACCGGCCGGCAGCGATTCGGCCAGGTCCAAAGATGGTTTTTCCAAGAGAGGGCGGACCATCGTTTCCTTGAGTGCCCCCAGGAACCGTCCCTCCAAGAGGGACTTGTTGGTAATCTCCCTGAGGGCACCTCGGAACCCCTAGTGACCCACTTTAATGAGCCAGGAAGGGCACGGATCCAGGCTGCACATGGTTGGGCATACAGCTGCGAGCGATCTGCCCACTTCCTTTAGGCTGAGCGGGCCGAGATGATCCATACCCGACGAGGACATGCAAGGGGTCTCGAGTTCGCTGACTGTTATTCTTATTACACATGCTCCTGCCTTCCTGCTTTCTTGTACCTTTCTGTCTCCTTTCAGCATAGAGGTGTAGTCAGAAATATCACCCAGTCATAAGAACATAAGAGACGCCAGTGTTGGATCAGGCCAAAGGCCCATCCAGTCCAACACTCTGTCACACAGTGGCCAGAAACACCAGGGGCCATTAGGAGGTCCACCAGTGGGGCCAGGACATTAGAAGCCCTCCCACTGTTGACCCCCACCCCCAAGCACCAAGAAGACAGAGCATCACTTGCCCCAGAGCCGCTATCTATACCTTGTGGCTAATAGCCACTGGTGGACCTCTGCTCCATATGCTTATCCAATTCCCTTTTGAAGCCGTCCATGCTTGTAGCTGCCACCACTTCCTGGGGCAGTGAATTCCATGTGTTAATCACTCTTTGGGTGAAGAAGGACTTCCTTTTATCCGTTCTAACCCGACCGCTCAGCAATTTCATGGAGTGCCCACGAGTTCTTGTATTGTGAGAAAGGGAGAAAAGTACCTCTTTCTCTACCTGCTCTTTCCCATGCATAATCTTATAAGTCTTGAAAGAAGCTGCCTGCAGGCGGAAAGGTAGCAGAGCAGTTGTGTCCCAGATGTCATACATAACACCTATTAGCTTGCTTTCTCTTACCTTTCCTTCTCCTTTGAGCAGAGGGTAGCAGTGAGAAATAATACCCACCCTTGAAGGATGTTTGCTGCAGGCAGAAAGCTAGCAGGCCAGGTATCTCACATAACACTGTTCAGAAATATATGTGCCCCTACCTTCCTGTTTCTCCTACTTTTAAAGTTCTTTTTGGCATATTTATACCGCACTCTTCTCCCCAGTGGGGACCCAGAGCAACTCACGTCATTTTCCTCTGTTAGACTGAGAGAGAGTGTGATCCCACTATGAAATTTTGCATCATTTAATATGTCGTTGGTTCTACAACTCAAATCCTATTGTGTTATTCATTGAATGTCCCATATTTTTGATTGTATTGACTCACTCTGTGTAATCTGCCTTAAGTCTCAATGATAACATCAGAAAAGCCCTGCCGGATCAGACCAGTGACCAGTGGTCCATCCAGTCCAGCATCGTGTCTCACACAGTGGCCAACCAGTTCCTCTGGAGGGCCAGCAACAGGGCAGAGAGGCTGAGGCCTTCATAAAAACATCAGAAGAGCCCTGCTGGATCAGACCAGTGACCAGTGGTCCATCCAGTCCAGCATCGTGTCTCACACAGTGGCCAACCAGTTCCTCTGGAGGGCCAGCAACAGGGCAGAGAGGCTGAGGCCTTCATAAAAACATCAGAAGAGCCCTGCTGGATCAGACCAGTGACCAGTGGTCCATCCAGTCCAGCATCGTGTCTCACACAGTGGCCAACCAGTTCCTCTGGAGGGCCAGCAACAGGGCAGAGAGGCTGAGGCCTTCATAAAAACATCAGAAGAGCCCTGCTGGATCAGACCAGTGACCAGTGGTCCATCCAGTCCAGCATCGTGTCTCACACAGTGGCCAACCAGTTCCTCTGGAGGGCCAGCAACAGGGCAGAGAGGCTGAGGCCTTCATAAAAACATCAGAAGAGCCCTGCTGGATCAGACCAGTGACCAGTGGTCCATCCAGTCCAGCATCCTGTCTCACACACTGGCCAACCATTTCCTCTGGACAGCCAACAAACAGGGCATAGACGCCGAGGCCTTCCCCTGATGTTGCCTTCTGGCTCTGGGATTCAGAGGCCAGCTATAAATAACATAAACAAACACATGTTCAAAGCCACCTAAACTAGTGGCTGTCGCAGTGTCTTGTGGCAGTGAGTTCCATAGGTTAACTCTGCATTCTGTTGTGAAGCATTCAGTTCAATTCAGGTGAAAAGATCTGCTGCAAAACGGTTGCTGCGGGGGTGAGCCTCAGTGCTCGTGCTGAACAGTAGGGTGAAAATTTTCCATGCTGTTTATACTGGGAGTAGTGAGGAATATTAAGGAGAGTCGTGGAAGTCTTTATATAAGAAGGATTTCATGCCCCAAAGAAGCCACACAAAGGTTTGTATGTCCAAACAATCCCACAAAAGAGTTTACAGCCACTCTTT